AGTAATCCTACATCTAGAGAATACACCTACTTTTCCTCCCTTCATCAGTCTTTTTCTAGAATAGACCTTATTCTCATCAGTAATTCCCTTACCCAATATGCAACAGGCACCACGATCCACTCCATTATAATTAGTGATCACGCTCCCATTTCCCTCACATTAAATATTGAAGCCGATACTAAACCCTCTAGAAGATGGTGCTTCAATACATCATTACTCCAGGACTTAGATTTTATTACATTTATTGAAAAAGAGTGGGCATTCTTTCTGGAGATGAATGACTCTCCAGAAATCTCACCCTCATTATTATAGGAAACAGGCAAAGCAGTAATTAGAGGGAAAATAATAACATACTCATCGTACAAAAAGAAAAAACAACTAGAACTGGAAAGCATCTTGGAACAAAAGACAAAACAACTCAGATTTACATTCCCAAAACCCTAGCGAACAAACACAAAACAAATTAAGCGAACTAAAAATGCAACTTGAAAATATTATATATATAAAAAAAGCGGTTTCTCATTCAACAACTCAAATATGAACACTTTCAGTACAGTAACAAAATAGGTAATTATCTGGCTAATCAATTACAACACAATTACAACAAGGAAAAAGCATCAATCCCATCCATACTCAATCCTAGAGGTGAAATTGTTTATAATCCACAAGATATTAATAACGTGTTCCAAACCTTTTACAGTAAACTTTACTCCCCCAATTCATCAGAAATAGACACTTTCTTAGATCGTTTAGAGCTGCCAACATTACCCAGAGAACAAGCTGACAGATTAGATGCTCCTCTCACCATCGACGAACTCCATAAAGCACTGATTTCAATGCCAAATAACAAAGAACCCGGACCTGATGGACTACCAGCTGAATTTTATAAACTTTTTTGGCAAATGCTATCACCACTGTTTCTCAGAGTTACTACAGAAATTAAAGACACCTCCACAATACCAACACACATGAACACAGCCAGACACAGACTCTTATTAAAACCAAACAAAGACCCAATTCACCCTTCTAGTTACTGTGGAGTAAAATTATGAACAAAGTTATACTCTAGGATTAGTTCCAACATTTTATTGAATTAAGTACTTATTTAGTACAAGATTGACACCATGATTGTTGCTTATTTAACCTGTGTGTTCACTTTGTATGAGAGTGACGTGCGGTGAGGTTGACAGCTGGTGAGGCACTGACTCCTTTACAGTCAGATTTACAAATACAAATTGTCTATTAACAGACAATGCGTTATGTTTTATATCTCATATCAACATTCTTCACACAAACGTGACCCATATTTAATTTGAGGTTAAAATTTATTTCAATTGAGCTTATTTCTAACTAGAAATAATAAAAGTTTATGGTCTTACCTTTACTTGTACACGACATCCATTTGTCAGCTGGTATGTATTACAAACCCTTTTACCGTTCGGCCGAATACTTTCGCAAGGCACTGTACTTGGCTTTCTGTAAATTATGAGCTGCAATTTATGAACAACATTTGTAGGACTGCTTCACTGAACTGTTAACATCAAAGATGTTTTTAATGTGCAAGAAAAAAAAATTATAAAAATTGTCTCCCACAGAAGCTCCAGACTGTAACACTTTTAATGGACATGTTTATAAAAGTTTTTTTACATGATGGATCCATGATGGGATAGTGGGTGTGCTCCAGAACCTGGCTGGTATAGTGCTGGTTCCTGAACGATGGGTGTGGTCTCTGTTCCATTTAAATTTGGTACATGAAAAGGGGACATGACACTTGTACAGACCTGAAGCCATGGAAAACTGTGGCGAGTCAAAACACAAAAGCATGAGAGTATTGCAAATAACAGACGGGTAAACTGTGCCTCTGTCAGGTATATCAGATCTCAGACTTCAAAGACAGTTTCATCTTTCCCTGGACAAGTTCAGAATTTAACACTACCTGACATCAAAAAAGCTCTTTCTAAATTCAAAAGAGACAGTTTCAAGAGAAGTGGACAAGTAATAATTTTTTTTTTTTTTTGTAGTTTAATGCAACTGCTACCTGTTTCATCTGCAAGGAGCAAGTTGCCATTCTCAAGAAATGCAGTCTCAAGTGACATTACTCTTCTAAACATAATGCTAAGTATAAGAGAGGCCAGCTGCTTAGGAGAGGCCTGGCCATGCTGCAAACTTCCTTCACTGAGCAAAAAGGGAATGTGACGCAGCAAAACTGCAAAAGCAAAAAAGCAATTTATCCAAAGAGTTTGTGAAAGATTATATGGAGCAGGCTGCTAGCGCTGATATCCTCTGCCCAAAAAATAATGGCTGAATTCAGAAATCTCTGGTTGTCCACAAAGACACTAAGGGAGTGGATCACTGAACTGTCTGATAACATTTATAGTCAGCTGTGTAACAAATTAAGGGAACTCTATGCCTGTTCTTTTGGGCTTGGAGAGTGTGGAGTAAAATTATTAACAAAGTTATGCTCTAGGATTAGTTCCAACATTTTATTGAATTAAGTACTTATTTAGTAGAAGATTGACACCATGATTGTTGCTTATTTTAACCTGTGTGTTCACTTTGTATGTGTATGACTAGTCTATCATATTAGAAAAAGAAGAGTTAAGATTTTATTTTAGAATACATAAGTTCACATACTTATATGTCACAGTTATGTTTACATAGTTACATATCACCTTATGTGTTCACTGAACCACTGGTTAATATTTACTGTATTAGTCACCGAAGCACTGTTCAACATTTTAGTGTCATGTCCACTAAATTACTGAATCTCATTAGATTTACAGCTCTGGCTAAGAGAGTCCACAGTGAATTTATTATCACCACTGGGCTAGAAGTGAGGGGAGTTGCAGGTCACTGGAATTCCAAGGTTAGTGAGACAGAGATTAGATCTGGACACATGTGGAGGAGAAAGCTTTAAAGGTAAGAGAGAACTGTTGTGATGCTGGAGAAGTTACTATGTCTGCATTATGCCATTAGTAACATGGAGCAGGTACTAGGAAACATAGGAAGGAGTGTGTCTATAGGAATTCAGGCAGTATAGGATTTCTTCCCCTTCCTAGGGCGCGAATGATTGGACCAGAGAGGACGGACAGACCAAAGGACCAGTGGGACAGCATGAGAGGCACCAGATCAACCCACATTGCACATTTCAAAACTGTATATGAAATTGGGTTTCCAGGAGGGTAGGCGTTCCCTTGTCCTGAAGACGAGCTGAATGGTTTTGCTGTTGATGGTCAGGGCTTCAGATAGAGACGGAACCCAGAGCTCTGTAAATTGCTTTATTCGATAGTCTATTCAATTGTGATAATAAATGTTTAAAATTGATACTTGACTCCGATTATTCTTCATAAAAGAACACGCTGCATTACCGTCCCTTATCACTTATTAATTCGGATTTAAAAATCATTACCAAAGCCCTAACTACTAGAATAGACAGACACTCCAATACTAATCCACCCAGACCAAACAGGTTTCATTAAAAACAGGAATGCTTCAGACAACATCCGTAGATTATTTAATTTAATTAATCTTGCACAACAAAAACAAACCAAAACCATAATTTTATCACTAGATGCAGAGAAAGCATTTGACAAAGTTAACTGGACATTTCTCTTTTGTACACTACACAGCTCTAAACTCCTCCCCCCAATTCTGCACAGGCAACATTAAATATCTTGGTATTAATATCTCTCCCAGGCTGTCAGAACTTTTTAATCTCAACTACACCCCCCTGCTAAAAAAAGATAGAAGATGATCTTAAATGTTGGTCCAATCTTCCTCTCTCACTCATCGGTTGAATAGCTACTATCAAAATGAAAACTCTGCCTCAAATCAACTGTTTACAATGCTTCCCACAACACTCACAGATAAATGGTTTAAATCACTTGATTCTTTAACTTCAGAAACCCAGAATTTCTCTATCTACACTCCAAAAGCAGAAGTCACTAGGTGGCCTAGAGGCACAAAATTTCCAATATTACTACTTTGGCAAATCAGCTACAGTATTTAGTCAAATGGATTCAGAAGGACAGTTACAACAGCACATGGATAGAATTAGAGCCAAATTACTGTAAAAATAACTTAAATAACTCAGTTGCAGACCTCCCTATTCTACCAAACTCTACTAAGAAAATGAATCACTGTAAGAACATCACAATCCTCTCAACTCCGACAGCCTGGGGGAAAGTAAACAAAATCACTAAATCATCACTTGTACCATGTAGATACACTCCAATTTGGCACAACCCTGATTTCCAACTGCATAATAACCCTATCTATTTCCCAGCATGGCAACACAAAGGAATAACTTACTTACATCACCTATTTGAAAATAATCAGTTCATATCATATAATACACTGATCCAGAAGTACAGAGTTCAGAGAGAACAGAAATACCCACACTTCACACACTACAACCTTGTTAAAACACTCTATATCCTTCTGTAACGTAATGTAACTGTTGTCTTGTCTCCCATGTTCTGTAGTGTTTTGTTAATGTGTTACTATGTTTCAATAAAAAAAAAACCCCGTTATGTCTGGATTTCAAGGGTCTGATACTGTACATCTTCCTCCTCTGTGCCTCAGAGCTCCACTGTTGTCCATAAACTATTAAAAGCAGTGAGCCACTCTGTTGCGCTGGGTGTCCCCTTCATTACTACTGTAGTTTATTTCTACTCAGTCCCATACTGTATACACCATCCTATTGCTGGAAACACTAAAGCAATAAATGTGTTAATCCACCACTGAATATAGTCCCTTCATGTGCACCATTTCCTCCTGTTTGAGTAACATTTGATAAAAGCTACAGTGAAGGAGCATTTTCAAAAATCAAGGCTTTTTAAAACATGAAACATTTTCATCCTCAGTAGGAACCAGTCAGTTTGGAGCTGAGAGGAAGGCTAGAGAAATCACAGAGTGCTGAGAGGTGGACACGTTGTTGGTTTTGGTCTGTTCATGGGCTTCACTGGCTTTAAGGGCAACACAGTAAAATACCAGAACTGTTCCTTCAGATATTTCACCCTTGAACACAGTGTTGGACTAACAGGAAGACTGGAAACATACCATGACTTTTAACACCAACTCACCGGGGATGTGCTGTCCTCCATAGGTAATGTTGACGTCGTAGAGGCCGGGGGTGAAGGGAACATACTCCACGCTGCAGCTGCCATCTTTGTTGTCTTTGCAGGACATCTTTGACTCCGATGGACCCTCCACAGTGATGCCAAGACCTCCGGTACCTGCTCCTCTGTTAAAAGGATTATTACCCCCAAAATCAGCAACAGTTTGACCTTGGTTCTTTTATTACAATTGCTCTACTAAAAAGATTCTTTCCTAAAAAAAAAAAAAAAAAAAAAAAAAAAAAAATTTTTTTGACGTTTTTTGCTTTTGCTTTCACTTGTTCCCCATGTTTAGACAAAATACATATAGTTGCAACTTGCTGCTGTATTTTTATAACAAAGATGTCTTAGTTCCCCACAGAACAAATGACCTTAAAAGACTGAAAGGGTTCAGATCC